ACACACACTCACACGCACGCACACACACTCACTCACTCACACACACACACTCTCACACACACACACACACACACACTCTCACACACACACACACTCACTCACTCACTCACACACACACACACACACGGCTTGCACATAGAGCTGGAGCAACACTGTTCACATGCTGTGAGAGTGACACTGAAGGAGTGATGCAGTGTGAAGCGTCTGAATGAACAGAGAAGTATTTATCCTCAAGAATATAGGATTATGGTGAAAGATTCTGTCAGAGCAGATCCATAATCAGAGCTTGATGATCGCAGTTTGAGAACAGCGGCACAAGAGCTCCCCTACAGAGAACATTTCCCCCTGTATTTCTGCTGGACAGGACCGAATTGTTCTACTTTTATTTTTATACATTGCATTATTTTTCATTTTTTATCTATTTTTGTTTACTTTTTTAAATCAAATATAAGAGCCACAAGAAGTCTGCAGTGCCATTTATTCTATTTATTAAGATCAAGATCAAAATCTAAGTTTAACTACCAAAGTTTGGACAAAAATAATTATTTATTCAGCTGTATGAAATGTGTTTTGTGGACATATTTAAACGGTGCCAATGTATGGATTTCTTTACAAAAAGAAAATAGCATTTTCTTAATGTAATGTCTTCATGTTTTATTTTAGTAATTTATTTATTTTATTTTTTTAATGTTTGGAATAAGTAGAGAAATAAAAGTAGCCAAACATGGAGGATAATATGATAAATTATAATATAATATAATATGTGACCCTGGAGCACAAAAGCAGTGTTAAGTCGCTGGGGGATATTTGTAGCAATAGCCAACAATACATTGTATGGGTCACAATTATACATTTCTCTTTTATGCCAAAAATCATTAGGATATTAAGTAAAGATCATGTTCCATGAAGATATTTTGTAAATGTCCTACTGTAAATATATCAAAACTTAATGTTTGATTAGTAATATGCATTGCTAAGAACTTCATTTGGACAACTTTAAAGATGATTTTCTCAATATTTAGATTTTTTTGCACCCTCAGATTCCAGATTTTGTCCTATCCTAACAAACCATACATCAATGGAAAGATGATTTATTCCGCTTTCAGATCATGCATAAATCTCAATTTCAGAAAATTGACCCTTATAATATAATACAATATAATAATGAAAATATTTATTTAATCCCAGGTTATATTTTTGGTTATTTTGGTTAAGTTAAATCTGATCAAATACAAATGTTAGAACAGGACTGTCATTCAGTTTAGAATGTTGTGAATGAATGAGGCGAGGAGGGGACTGTCAACAGCAGTGATGATGAAGATGATGGAAATGGAAAGGCTCTGACCACACAGCTGTCCAGTTTAGGATATGAAGGACCAACCTCTGGACAGTGTAACGCCCATTCACACTGACAGCGATTTTATGAGTGGATTTACACTACCCTTTAGAAGTTTGGGGTCAGTCATTAAATTTATTTGTTTTAATAAATACATTTATACAGCTTTAAATTGATAAGAAGTGACATTAAATATATATGTTACACAGCACTTCTATTTCAAATAAAGGCTGTTCTTTTGAACGTTCTATTCATCAAAGAATCCTGAAAAAAAAATGTATCAGTTTCTACAAAATATTGACGATAAGAATGTCTCTTGAGCAGCATATTATACTGATTTCTGAAGATCATGTGACACTGAAGACTGGAGGAATGATGCTGAAAATACAGCTGCACATCACAGAAATACATTACAACTTACAATATATTTAAATAGAAAACTGTTGTTTTAAATGTCAAAATATTTCAATTTTTACTGTATTTTTGATCAAATGAGTGCAGCCTGTGTGAGTTCAGATCCTGTTGCTGCTCATTTGCATAAAGTTAAACTCTGTTGCAACACTAGACACAACCACACTGCATCGTCAACCTGTTACCTGGAATCAGCAGCGCTCAGTGAAAACGAATGACTTCATACAATAAAACACATCAGTGTCTCAGCAATGGATGCTCTGCAGTGAATGGGTGCCGTCAGAATGAGAGTCCAAACAGCTGATAAAAACATCACAATATTCCACAGCACTCCAGTTCATCGGTTAACATCTTGTGAACAGAAAAGTTGCATGTTTGTAAAAAACAAAACAAATCCATCAAGGCATTTTAAATTTAAACTGTCTCTCCTGATTCAGACAAGAACCCTTTTTTTTATTTTTTTATATATATATTATTATGGATAGAGGACTCATATTTTAGCCAGAAGCAACGGTTTTTCCATTCACAAGATGTTAACCGATGGACTGCAGTGCTGTGGATTATTGTGATGTTTTTATGAGCTGTTTGGACTCTCATTCTGACGGCACCCATTCACTGCAGAGCATCCATTGCTGAGACACTGATGCAGTGCTACACTTCTCCAAACCTGATGAAGAAACAAACTCATCCTGATCTGGGATGGACCGAGAGTGAGCACATTTTCATTTCTGGGTAAAGTTTTCCTCTTAAGCTTTATAAGTTGCCATTAAAAATCTCCCAGTCTCCCAATGGAAAATGAATGATTTTACTTATTAAATCCGACTGCTGCAACCTTTACGGTGCTCTAGTGGAGTTTGACAGCTGTGGTCATTATAAACTCTCCCCGTGAGAACCGCTTTCATGGAAAAATAACGTTGGAACGACGTAAATAAAGCCAGATCTTTCATGTTCGGCTGATGTCTGTAAACACATAGCAGGCTCTCTCTGTTTTACTGTGGCTGTGTTTTAGTGGTGGTGGGAGCGAGGTACGGGATGGAGATCGAGGTCAGGGCAGAGTGGACACGGAGGGGACAGTGGTTCTGCTGAATCCTCACCATTCCTTGGGTAATGAGCCAGCTGTCTATGGGCTCCAACTCAACATTAGCACCTTTTACATTCGGCTGAATCAACAACAGAGAACACCTTACAGATGTGCAGAAGAACAAGAGCACCCACCACAAACAATCACCCCTCCATCTTCAGGAGAACTGGAGCAGGAGTCATTCAAGGCAAGAGAAAGCAAGGTAGATGGAGTGGAAAAACAAACTTTGACCCATGGGCTGATCGCTATGCACTGCACCTCTAAACCACGTCCGTTATGTAACCGTGGTTGATTTCAACACATGCATGTCTGGCACCAGAGATACAATCAGTCTATAACGATCTCCTAATATCACTCTTGAAGATTTCACAACAATTCTTTATATTAAGTATATTCATGTAAACAAATTGAGTTAGCCACTGCCTTAGCAAACACCACTAATGGAATAATAATGGATCTCATTTAAGGGTCAGTGGGTTTGTGCTCCTTTTGTGCCCAGATCTAATCATTTATTCACAAATAAATGTGAAACGATACACAGTAACTTGAACACACATTACTTCACTGATGATGATGGTCGTGTACATTCAGTTTCAATTCAATGTGAAGGTTTTTCTTTCTTTGTCAAGATGACACAACTGTCCTTATTTCATAATGGGGGGAAAATGCTCATTAAAACAATGACATTCTTAAAAGAATGAAAACCTTATCAAATAGTTATTTATTTTATTATATATATTCATTATTAGAAAACAAAAAGTCATGTGGTGTGTGGGTACCCTAAAAAAAACACACAGGAAATTATATCAGAGGACCCAGATAATTTGATCTTTTATGGCAAGGTTTCTTAATAAATGTGATTCCCTAAAAGCGTAATGATGATCACAAATTTGTGTTTTGAAAAGATAGACGCTTTAAAAAGATTTGTCCTTTTCTTTATTGTCGACACTCTTATTTGTCATGTGTCTGTGTGAGAGTGTGTGTGAGAGTGTGAGTGTGTGTGAGAGAGAGAGTGTGAGTGTGAGTGTGTGTCTGTGTGAGAGTGTGTGAGTGTGTGTGAGAGTGTGAGTGTGTGTGAGAGAGAGAGTGTGAGTATGAGTGTGTGTCTGTGTGAGAGTGTGTGTGTG